CCTTTGACATCAGCATCTGCTGAGAGATCATTTTCCAAGCTGAAAATAATAAAAAATCGCCTGAGGTCGACGATGAGGCAAGATCGACTAGAATCGCTGATGCTCATGTCCGTGGAATCTGACATTTGTTGGGGCCTCGACATCGAAGGACTCGTTGAAAGATTTACCGACGCAGCTCCCCGAAGATGGAACTTGTACTAAATATGTATAACATTAAATTCTTCATTTCATTCTTGGTTTTATTAAAAATACATTTGATTCATATATTGTATGGAAATCAATTATGTTCCGATCTACTAAAAAAGTGATTTATTAAAACCTTTATGTTTCTCTTAAAGTGCCTCCAAAACGCAGGAAATGCGGTTTTAGACACCCAAAATTCAAAATTTTCTCGGGGGGGCATATCCCCGAACCCCCCTAGTAGGCTCGTGCCTTTGGCACTCGAATGATTTGCCCCCCCAAAAATAAATCCTGCCGGCGCCACTGTTAAGAAATAGTCCAAAAAGTCACAGTCCCCCCCCCCCTCCCAACACTAATGCATGCATGTATTACTTCAACAGTTAGGCCTAGGGTAACTAGGTAACTTTAGCCAATCGCTTTTTAGTGGTTGTGACCTTAAAAAGTAATAATTTAAGTTTTTTATACACTATTCTGCTTCTCGTCCTTTTTTACGCAATTCCGCGTTTTATCCTCATTTGCGGAATCCGCATTTTATCCTCAAATGCGGAATCCGCGTTTTATCCTCATTTGCGGAATCCGCGTTTTATCCCCATTTGCGGAATCCGCATCCGGAATCCGCTTACGGAATCCGCATTCCGTTTCCGCGTTTTATCCCTACCCATTGTGCTTGCCAAATATATAAACACTCGATTATCTGTTCCTTTATTTGCCTACTAAATCGGCACTAAACTGTTTTATTCCTTCAGAAGTTGGTAAGGACGCATGCCAGGGAGACAAACTGCGACACGCAAGGAGATTTCCTTTTAATTCTAAAAATCACAAATTTACAAAGATATAACATGCACATTCCAATCATATTTTTACAATAACAAAGATAATATAATAATAAAATGTTCGCTAAAATCGACTGTAAAGATAGCTAATAAAACAAATAACCCTAAAAACTGTTCACGGAACTATAAAACTATAAAATAGTACCTGAAGGGTGGATCTCCTCACGCTCGAACTCTCTATAAAATCGTCTTACTTTCTCTGTTTAAAAGCGTGACTCATTTTAGCTTTTCTATATCTCGACTTAAAAATGTCTCGTCTTAAATTACATATCGTGCGTCGATGACATAATCTAGAGGTTGCTAATAATTAACTTAACTTCACGGAACTTTAATTAAACTATAATACTATAAAGTAATAAAAATGTCAACTGTTCAAAACACATAGATCAATGCATAAATGTTACGATAGCACGGCAGAACGGCACTATATCGTTCCCAGATCAATGCATATATAAATGTTACGATAATGTTCACTTGGCTAATGCTTTCATTTCCCCGGGTGTAAATAGCCGGGGGGGGGGATTAGTACCCTCGCACGGCACTTCACGCCATCGGCTCAGGGACAATTAATAAAAGTCAAAAAGCATCTGCACAGGTGAGTTTTTGCAGGTCATGTTTAGTCATACTTTACATATGTGATGAATATATATATATTAAATATATATCTTGTTAGAATACCTTGCTCTGGGAAAAACCGTCCAATACCAAAATCAGACAGCAGTAAATTACCATACACATCAACAAGTATGTTAGTTGGCTTCAAATCTCTATGCAGAATTCTAGGCTCCCTAGCATGTAATGCTTTCAATCCTTCCAACACTTGACGTATCATGTTTCTATCATCCGACTCTGTCATCCGTTCGCCTTTCTCCTTGATAAATTCTTCCAGATTCTGTTCATATAAGTTCAGAATTAAATAACCGAAATCAGGGTTGGAAGTGTCATCATAGAAAAAATAATTTACAATTCGTGGAGACTCGACTGCATTCCGAGAATTCAAGATATCTCGTTCATTCTTCAGAAATTTCTCACACATTTGTTTTGGCAAACGTTTTATCGCTCGTTCTATTCCGTCAAACCCCAAGCAAATATACACCTCTGTGCCGTAACTGCCACTGCCTATTGCGAACTCGTTTTTGAAACATACGGCATCACCATTTATTATTGTTATCGATTCAGGATTACTTTCCCAGAGTTCTAATAGCCGTTCAAACTTCTCCCTATGCTTCACAGAGACTTTATTCCACTCTATGGGTCCACGATTCCATCCGCTATATGCCCTACATACTCTCTGCCCTAGAGGTGCAAAGATATTTGCGGGTGATTGGATTTGTCGCCTTAGTTCGTATGGATTTAAAGAGTCAGACATCTTTACCACAGATACAGATTACAAAAGAGAGCAAGGTTGAATTCACTTTCGTTTTCGCCAAGGAGTCACGTGCTCCGAGCCTGGCCATCATATTAACAGTATATACTTCATGTAGTCCTACAAGAATCACATTCTTTTTCCCTAACTAGTACACAATATTTTGTTTATATATATTATATTTCCTTGTGTTCAATATAAAAATTATTAGGACTACCTGATGTCGTACCCCCAGATGACGAGCCAGTGTGCGATCCACGACAAAGACAGACAAGCCCCATTTCAAGACACTGGTCCTTTCTCTGGGTCCTTTCTCTGGGTCCTTTCTCTGGGACCTTTCTCTGGGTCCTTTCGTTCAGTTGAATGGTCTTGCAAAAAGGTTCCTAAAGGGGGGGGGGGTCCCAATCCCATTTCCCACCTGAAATTTTGGCAAAATCCCAGTCCCGGTTGGATTTTTATTAGAAATCCCAGTCCCAGTTATTGAAATCCCAGTCAATAAAAACCCCTTTATTTATCGGTGGAATAAACAGTTTTAAGACCTTTTAAGCAAGTGACGGACACTTTATGAAATGTTAGGGGGGG